GGTCCGGGGGTGAAAGCCCGACCCTGGCTTGGGCCTCGGGGCTCCCCGCGTGACAACCCTGACGAATGTCACACATCGTTTACGGCATGGAGTAAACTGGCCGACAATCGAGAGATGGTCCCCAGTGACTATGTTGCGGGTGTAAAGGCATTCTTCTGGTAGGAGGCCGGGACAAAGGTAGAAAACGTTTTGCCAACCGGCTGAAGTTTCCTTGTCAAAACCGCGACGATAACTTCTCATTTCATGTTATTATGTATACTAGGTTATAAGTTATAACTTATAAGTAAACTGGGCTACGCAGTTACATTGACTTGTTGATTCGTTTTTGTTTTTCGAAAAACTGGGCTACGATGTCAAAACCACGATGATAACTTGTAAGTAAACTGGGCTGCCTGGTCCGTATACGTTGACTTGTTGATTCGTTTTTGTTTTTCGAAAAAAGGACGGCGACCTGATTGCCTCGGGATTCGAACTTACAACGGACTGAGCTAGGCTTGTGTTGATGATGCTCTCTCCCTCTCTGTAATTCTTTGACTATTGTTCAGTGCTTAAGAAGAGCAAACCGTGGAAGATTGTCTTCGTTTTTGTTTTTGTTGGGAGGAGGGGAGGGGGCAAGTACCTTATGTTGTGATTGTGGTCTCAGCTTTTCAAACTCTGTTGTGCGGTCGCCAGTGCACGAACGTCATCTGATAACCAATGGCGATTCATTCGTAATGTGGGTTATGCTTGTGATGCAGGATGTACGATGAAGCGAAATTCAGCAAGAAGGATCTATCTGGCTGATGATCCTAGAGGATGATTTACCTCATAGCCGGTTTTCTTATTTGTTGCTTTCATTTTTTTCTTTCAGGCTTTCAAGTTTTTGCATTATTTCTAGGACAAATGAGGCGGCAGCCACTTGCACACACCACCCTCTCAGATATCCCCGCTTTAGTGGAGTTGCACCTAGCGATGCGAAAATACACACACACACACACACACACACACACACACACACACACACACACACACACACACACACACACACAGGCACACACTCAGGCACGCATGCGAACACACAAATGCAAACACGCGCACAACATGAGTTGGGCACGTTTGCTGAATCGTATGTAGATCATGGCATAGCAAATTCTTTTGGAGGTGGAATGGGATTGAGTGAACCTAGTCAGATTTGGAATCGAAGTGCATTTAGATGTCGAGTCATTGACGTCTATACTGCACTCTGCTGTATGAAATATACCCATGCGGTGTGTGAGGGGCAGGCGAAGGGATAGCCCTTTTGTGGGGAAGCCTAGAAGCGAGCTTTTGTGCTAGCGGCAACGAAAGAAGGTAGAGGAAGAGGTTGCTAGTGGATCGATGTAGAAAATCTCTGTTAATCGCAGTTTATTATTGATGCCTAATCCGTGTTATCGCTTGATGATTCTGGTGCTCTTCTCCACTGTCGGTCTTTTTTTTTTTTTTTTTTTTTTTTTTTTTTTTTTTTTTTTTTTTTTTTTTTTTTTTTTTTTTTTTTTTTACGACTCTTTATTCTTCTCTCATTCACTTGGCATTTTTGCTTGTATCATTGTATGTCATCTCTAAGGAGATGCTCACACTAGGACTTATATTGCATGCATCATCTGAATGGGCTGAAATAGACTTATATTGCATGCATCATCTGCCGGGCCAGGGTTCTAGGCAGCCCCAACGCAAAAAAAAAAATCAAAAAATTCCCGAAAAAATATGTTGTGTAGAACTGAAATACGAACGATTTTTGGCTGAGGGTCACATTATAATGCCTCACAGAATCGGAGATAAAAAATAAAATAACGGAATCACACAAAGGCACCCCCCTTTAGACCCTTTAGCCCTTTCAAACCAATTTGTACCCCCTCCGCCCCCCTTGACTGCCAACTCGCAAAAATCGAAATGAGCCCGGATTTTGGTTCCTGTGGGAGAGCGCAGAAATCGAAATGAGCCCGGATTTTGGTTCCTGTGGACAGACTGTTTCGTTTCCAAAAAAAAAAAAAAAAAAAAAAAAAAAAAGACTTTCGTTGGACTCTCACCGACGCATCAGGAGGGCGAACCCTCGACAATCTGTGAAATCTCCTTTTCAGAGGCTTTTTTCTTTTTTCTTTTTTTTTTTGGCGCAGAGGACCACGGAATAGATATTACACTGATCAGAGCAGACACTACACTCGATGTATTTTGAGCCAAAAGGCCGAGAAAGGTATTTAAAAAAAATCTCCATATTGAAGCTTTGAGTCGCAAGCTCTTTGATCCAGCAGGCAACGATGATTGCGGCAAGGCAAGGGCAAGGCAACAAGGCACCAGTCGGCGAGCAACAACAAAGGGCATAGGCTATGTAGCGCTGTGTATGAGCAGGAGATGCTCTGGACTGATAACTGGTGGCTTACAGGTCTCCCCCCCCCGGGACTTCGCTTAACTGCAGGCACAGGTTATGTAGCGCTGTGTAGTCGAGGAGCTTTATTAGAAGTTATCTGGGCAACACGGAATGCTAAAGTTTTCAGGGGGGGAACCTTGTCGATCCATCAACAGAAAGGGATGATGAAGTCTAAGTTAAGACTTGCCATCACAGCAGACTGGGCTCTGCATAGAACGCCTGGAGCTAGGAACATCCTTTGGTTCCGACGCACGTGGGGTCAAGATAGCAAATGGGCGACTGTGAGCCCAGAGGGATCCTTCTGCCTTTCTTCCTGGCTCTCGGGTCAAGAAGCCTGTGTAGGAATATAAGATTGAATCGAGAGATTCCATGGGTCGCTTTAGACCTTATCATTTTTTCAGTATGGTATAGCCTGTTACAAGGGCAGATTCCAGGGAAGGACACTAGTCTTACTCCTTATAGGTGTATTTTGTACCTGTGATGAATGCCTGAATTGGTCTACTCAAGAATAGATATGGTCAGTCTTTAGAATTTCTTGGAGCTTAAAGTTTTATCTGATGAAGGTTGGTTGCGTTTCATCTTTGACCTTTTTTGGAAAGTACAGAGGGCCTCATAGGGACCCTTATCTGAGCTGTTAGTTAACTCAGGATTTATCTCTAGCAGCTAGTTTTGGATGAGTGGGATAAGCTAAACTGGCTGAAGCTGCCAGGGTAACTCGGGTAGAATTGTGAGGTCCCCGGCCTCGAATCTATTTTTTTCGTATTAAGTTTATGCTTTCCGAAAAAAAAAAAAAAAAAAAAAAAAAAAAAGGGCATGGGCTGGAGGGGCCATAGGGAGGGGACGTGGGAAGCTAATAACAAGGTCAGGAAAGTGGAGGGCAGCACGCTGAGAAGCACGGCAGCAAAGCGACAAGGCAGGGAGGAACAAGCTTGTGTAAGTATAGGAGGGACACATACGTCTCTTTCCAAGACACAGTTGCTTTAGCGGAAGTCCAGACGAAGACAGCACCAGCTGTCTCAGTTTTCACATGCACAATATCATAATAAAATATTGAGGAAACTGCTCCGGAGTCACACTTTTGGTTCAAAATAGGCAGGTAAAACACGTCATGGCAACATGAACGTCGTCGTATTTCAGATAGGCAAGAAAAACACTTAATGGCAACATCCTCGTCGTGCAAGTTCAAATCGGCAAAAAAAGCATCACTTTTTTTTTTTCGTTTTTTTTTCCGGTTTTTTTTTTTTTCCGT